AAAACAGTCTTAAAATTCTACAATCTATCGCCTCCAAGTAAAGTAAATTTCTATAACTTCTTAAAAAGTGGGTGGCTGCAATTCTATATTGTGGCCTTTTCTGTATAGACCTCACAGAGCGGATTGCTTCCATGCAAAATTAGCTTAAAGAAATACCTATCCCTTAAACTCTTTTCCGAACGATATAATATAAATTAAAGGGCTTTTAACCGAAGAAATACTCATGAATAGTAGAGTAGGCTTCGTTTAAGGTTTAATTTCCATAGTTTCATGACTTTCAGAGATTCGAGGCTATGTTTTTTTGAGGATAAGAACAAATGTTCTGATATTAGAGATTAAGTTAAGCCTTGGTTTTATCATATAACTTAAATGCTACCTATCCAAAAAGTTCTACACCTGTTTCCTCAATAGCTAGACTTAAAATATTTCATTCAATAGAGGCGACAAAACTTTTTGTATAAATGCAAGACCATGGAAGTCAAGACAAATTAGGTCTCTTAAAGCATTCAGCGATTGATATTTTTATTCCATTTACTAATGTCCCGCTTATTCTTTCAACCAAGGGCATGTGCGTCTAAGTACACACATTTTAGTATTTAAACCAGTGAAATCAAGGAGTAAGCAAGTCTTCACTTGTAACTATAGCACTCAATTTACTCCTGAACTTATCAAATCGGCGCAAACGGATTATTAAAGCCTAGTACAGAGAAATATTTCTTAGAATACTTTTGTGTAAAATATCTTGAAATAGTCTACATCAAAGTTATTCCAAGCCAAAATACCCAAGAACATTTACCGCACAAGCTATTAAAAGATACGTAAAAGTTGTTGACCAATGATAAGAATACGACCTACAAAATGGATATCCATCAGTATTTACAATAAAAGCACTATTAACACCTTGATTTTAAGGTCTAAGACTAAATAATTTACAATAAAGATTTACATGGACAGAAGTCCATTCATATGCCTTTAAAGCCAACCATGTGTCCGGAGTCTTTTAGCTTAGCGAGAAATGAGCTAAAATTCTACCAAAGATCGTTAGAGTCATTGGATTGCAACAAATGGTATTTGTTATTGAGAATTTCTGTACTTTCTAGCTATACTAAAGCTATTACATCATATTCACTGACTTAATGACTGCCTAGAGGTATTAAGCAGGAAAAACCGCCTTGGATATTTTAGAATTTCCTCTTATTGAAATTGTAACAAAGTAAGAATGTCAGTTGTGTTCACCATATTTCGTTTAAGATAATGAAGGAATGGTAGTTGAATTTTCCCGCAATGATATGAGAAGAGTCGACGCTTCCATTGAATTCCACACAGCCCTGCTTTCAAAAAAGTTGTTCTCTTCCTTCATCACCTTAAACGAAATAGGGTGAACACAACCCGTATATCTGATTTATTGCTAGTCTCGAAAACCTACTCGCTAACGAAAAAGGTAATGTGTCTTATTGACAATCCCAACACAGGATATGATATGAAAAATGCCTGAGATTCCTTAAAATTCACATATGCCTTGTGGTCCAAGGCTTTCGTGACAATGTGGCGTATTGGTTAACGTGTCGAGATTACGCGCTACACCTTCATGTTTAAACTCCCTCTTGGGGTGTTGAAAAGACCGATGTGAGGTCGAAACTGCAGTCCACCCTGAGTAAGAACAGCTTTTGGGAAACCAAGGCTACGTGAAATTCGATTTAAACGTCAGATCTACTCATATCATTGTGGGAAAATTCGACTATCAGTCCTTCGTCCCCGTAAATAAAATTGGGTCTCGAAAACCTATCCACTTACGAAAAGAGTTAGAGCAGTTTTATAATATCAAGAATAGATACCGTGAAAAAAAAACAATGTTACTTACCGGATATTTTACTGATATCATACAGGATATCGCTTTGTTCAAGTAGCATATGCAAACATTCAATACAAAACCTGAAAATTAATAAAAAATCCATTTGATTTGATCTATAACTCTCTTAAATCCTCCGCCTTGCTTACGGAGGTGAGAAATACCTAATAATAAGATTAAAAATTGTATAGCGTCCCAAGTTAACTTATATCATCTTCTTCATCTCCAAATAGTTTATTTGGGATTGATTAGTTATTATATGCATAACTTAGCTAAATATGACTTATTTTGATACCTTTAACTCACTTCTCATTTTTTATTTTTGTTTGATAATTAAGCTATGATTTTTATTATGCTTTAAAGGATTTTTAAATCCAACTGAATGTTCCTGTAGGAAATATGCTGATGCGGTCCGTGCAACCTAAAGGAGAGTCGAATAAGAAACCATTTTTTGTGAAATACTTAAGAAAAATGACTCTCTCAGTTCATTTTTAATAACATTCCAAATAATATCATGCAATTAATCGCAAACCTTTGGTCTAATTTTCTTAACCCATATTTGAGCTATCACTTATTTGCATGGAAAAACAATGCATTTGGCTACATTTACCAATTCTTAGTCCCTGAAATTTGCATCGTCCTGCCATCAACTGACATCGTCCTGGTCTTACATTGCTGATACCTTAACCAAGACCAGAAAGGACATTCTTGAATCAAGAATTTGTCTCAGGATTATTACTCTGTTAGAAGAGAAGCAAAGACCATGC